ACATCGCGATGGCCGCCACGGCATGGCTCCCAGCGAACGATGATGGAATTGATGGACCGGATGGCTTTCAGTGCGTTGAGCGTCACCGTTCCCTTCTGGAAGTGTACCAGTAAAAGGCTATCCGGATACGCCTTCACATTCTCGTCTCTTCTTGTCATTCGATACACGGCACTTGGGGCCAGCTTGTACCGGTCCCTGATTTCTGATTCGATAAACTTCGGGTCGAAGTTTGGTAGGCCCCTGATGACGACCTTGAACGGCTTCTCACCGGGAATGTCGTGGGTAAAGAATTCCACCTTGGAAGTCCTCAGGTGGGCGACGACCACGTCAAACTCCGTTTTGGTACGGAGCATCACTTTAGTGCCGACTCTGCCCAACTTGTATTCGGCTTTAACACCCAGCGTCGCTAGATCCGCAATGAGCACATTAAGATGGGCATTTTTCACTACCAATGGAGGTAGCTTCACTTTTGCCGAGCTCATTTCGGCAGTATTCACGGTTTCGGCAGCGTCACCGAAATCTCCAACATCGCTGTTGTTCGTCGCAGTGACATCGGACTGGCCTCGATTCTTCTTCCTCTTCTTACTGCGTTTTTCCAACACAGCTGGCTGGATATTCCCATCCATGGGGAGAACAGCAAACCTGTTCGAGGTAGGCACACCGGAGCTTCCTTCTCCGGGGTTCTGGACCTTCGCCGGGCTTCGCGACCGATGCTTCCCCATTACGGGGCACACACACACGCACGACAAACCGCGAAAGAGAGAGCGCGAACACTATCGCAATGAACTTTTCAAGCAACTCGAGAGAGCGAGCTAACACCGAACTGAACTGCTTGACGATCAAGCAGAGAATGATGAGCTAATGCCATACAGCAGCGCTCTTTTATATCTTTTCAGGTTAAAGCAGAATGATGTGCAACCAAGTGGTATAAAAGCTACAAAGACTCCTCCCATTATGAGTAGTTTGCTATCAAGTAGCGACACTGGCTCTTTTCCTTTTGCGTACACGGCGAATGAGAACGACCCAAGTTTGAGTTTAGTTCACTCATAATCGCCAAAAGTGCAGGAACTCAGCGATGAGTAAATTTGTCTCATGGTTTCCTGTGGAAAACCTAAAAAATCAGCCATAAAATGAGAAAATTGACGAAAATTTTATTCAGTCTCGGAGTAGTACCAACAATCAATACGAAACTAACGATTTTAAATTGGCTCACCACTTTAGTAGCCTATTGGTCCCAAGCAAACGATTAACGTACCCTATTCTAGTTGAAATTCTATTACTACACTATGTTTGTTTTGATTCGCTATGAAAGTTTGACAGATAACATCAGGGGTGTGTGGATTCATGCAGAACATGCAGGGGTGAGTGAAAGAGCTTGGGACTGCTTGGGACCGTTGTTCTGGTACTGAGTGAGCCAAAAATAATAATGATTTTCTTCGGGACCCAGTGGTCTTAGAGTTATCTCTATGGTAGTACCAATACACTGAGTGAATCAAATCTTCACTTTTCTCAAATTCGGGAATTTTCCCTGGAAAGTCCTGGAAGAACCTGGGAAAAAATGAGGCAAATTTACTCATCACTGAGTTCCTGCACTTTATTTCTTATTTCTGAGATAATTAAACTCAAATTTGGGTCGTTCTCATTCGCCGTGATATCACCTTGAAAGATATCGGCGCCGGTCGTTAGCGTGATTACCTCGCATACCAGCAGGCCTGGGTCCAATCTCAGTCGGTGCCACCGGCATGTTCTAAGGCATAACATCTCTGATCACGCCTTCCTTCGGGAAGTAAAGCCGTTGGTCCCCGGTTGAGTTGATGGGTCGATTGATAGGGTCCAGGTGTGGGAGCTGCCTCCCTGGCGTCAGTAGCATTGGAACTAGCGTTGCCAGAATGTTTTAAAGCTTATCGGTATAATTTTATCGGTATTTATCGGTATTTACTGTTTTATTTTACTATTTTATTATGGAGGAAATTTGAGGAAAGTTCTGAGAGAAGTCGGAAAATCATCCGCGAAACTTTCAAGACATAAATTGAGAAACTTCTGGCGAACATTTAAAGAAACATTCAGTTTATGGAACATTCCTGAAATGTACCTAGGAATATTCCATATTTCCACGGGCTGTTTTGGAGTACTTTGATCATCTTTGAAATACTAGGAACTTCCCTGATTATAATGAGACTACCAGAATATCTCTAATCAACTTTGAAGGTCTCTAGACTTTCTTGAAGATTACGAAATTTCTTAAGCGCTTCCACAATTTTCATGTATTTATTGTAACATCAGCATTGAAGTTCTCTGATCTCCCCGATTTTTATAATTTTTAAAAGTTATCAACACTGCCATTAATAATCACGGAACTTCCCATTAAATGTTCTCTGCTTATGTTCATGTAACTTCCCTTACGTTTCTTAAATTTGCATGAGCCCTTCGGAACATTTCTGAAGTTTTCGGAAATTGCCTGAGTTTCTCAGAACTCCTTTAAAATTTCAGCGATTTCCTTGAAATTTATTGATCGGTCCTGATGTTCTCGGAGCTTCCTAAAGTTCTCTCAATTCTTCTGAAACTAATGGAACTGTCCTGAAAACTTTTGACTTGTGCAGTATCCAAAATATTTACGATGTTTTCTTAAGTTCACTGGAGTTCGCTGGACCGGGTTTTAGAATTTTAACAGAAGTTGTTGAAACATTCTTTAATTTATCGAAACTTACTCAAAAGTCTAGACTTTTCTGAAGTTTCAGAACTTCTTAAAAGTTCCTGCAGCTAGTGTGGATCTGCAATCAAAATCTGGAAGCATCCTTGAAGTTCCGGAAAAATTGGAAAACAGATGGAAGAATCATTCGAGGCGGGGATAAATTTCCGAGATTAATCGTAAAATAATTTACGATGTAAGGAGGAAGAAAGTTCAGGAAGTTAAATAATGTTTAAAAAGTATTTCCCGATTCCCCCAGAATTACCAGAAAGACCCATCGACTGTTTATCGATTCATGGGTAGCGAAAAACGGTGAGGAAATTGAAACATTAATCGAAAGAGTATCCATATGACATTTTTAAAGATGACTTTTTTTTTAATTTTAAAGTCTAAAAAAATTTGAGATGCTTAAAAAGATACAAGTCTCTCACAATAATCTTTTCCAAAATTCAAGCGCGGGCAGGCAATAATCATTTTGATTATTTAATAAAATCGGTATAAATCGGTATAAAACCTCAAAAATTGGTATTCTGAGGAACCTTATCTGTATATCGGTATCTAGTTCGGAAATCGGTATAAATACCGAAAAATCGGTATATCTGGCAACGCTGATCGGAGCTCAGTACGGAAAACAAATCTCACGTCACTTTTCAATAGGTCCTATCTACATTGATCGATTCTCTTCATCGACACTCTCTTTCGTAAATAACTCGGCTTCACAAATGTTTCCTGCCGTCTTCGTCGAATTAGATGCTACATTGTTGCTTCTTCCATCGGAAATATCCGGCCGTGGCGATTCAAAGTTGATCAAAGTTGATCAAAATAATTTGTACCCCTGCTTCCAGTTTGATTACATGAGCATTTTGTGTGATCGTTGGTTCTGAATATGGACAAACAGGCAAATGAATTATATTCCTACTCTTTACTGTAATCAGCTTGGTGGCCCTGAAAAGAGCCGTTTTGTTGCCAAAGTTGGTGATGATTTAACCTCCGAAACCAAACAGAGTGCGTCTCAGTCACTTCAAAACGTAGATGACATCCATGGCCGCTTACGCTAGGCGTATTTAGTGTAGGTGACAGCACCACGGATCTCATTTTTCAGAAACACCTTCAGCACACCTCGTAAATCAGACCGGAGATACGTCAGACACCGCCACGTTTGGTTCTGAATATGGCGATGCAAAATATTACGCAATTCCATCCTCCCTATTCGCACGCGCCCGAGGATCGGAGGCGAATGCCACTTCGACTTGTTTCGTCTACTTACTACTCTCTGACGACTGTGCTGGGGAAGCAGCATATGCATGTAGGTAATTGGTGGATTTGTTAGTTAATTCGACGCTTTTGGACAATGCTGGACATTTACCAGTTTTTCAATAGTTTCTTGTTGAAAATCAACATTCGGAAGCATTGTTATCGATACGTAGCCATATTTTTGATCGATTGGTGATAAAATTATTCAAATTGGACCAGGGGCAGCTGAGTTATTAACGTTCCAAATCTTTCTTAATTTGTTACATGTTCCAGTTTCGGTTTTCACAAAGTGTACCCCCATATAGAAATCAAACACGTAGTCCTACGTCAAAAGAAAAGTGAAAATTACTAATTTCATCATCTTTTCTGGGGAATGGTACATTCTTGGGAATGGTTTATTCTGGGGATTTTTTCTCTGGGAAATGCTGCATTCTGGGGAATGGTATTCTGGGGAATGTAATACAATCTATGTGAGCGGTATTCAGAGGATGTACACAAAGGCCTGAAAATGAATATTTTTATAGCAAAATAACTTGAAAACTAATATTGATCGACTCCGCATCGTTCAGGTTTCCATCATTTCGACAGTGAGCATGCAATGGGCCTAACTGTGATGATCGATTCTCTTCATCGATTTTCTCTTTAAATTGCTACAGCTAAGGAAAGCAATTTTCTTAAATTAGTCCAATACAGTGCTGTAACAGGTTGTATTGGCTATCAAAAGCAACAGAAAATGCACTTAAAAGTGATCCTAGCGAGTCATTAACAAAAGAGAAAATCTTCGAATAGAATCGATTATCGCAGTTAGGCCCTTATGCATGCTCACTGTTGATCTATTTTAATGTGTCTCGATATTATTCCAGCTTTTGCTGCAGGGGCAACTGTCGAGTGCACCGAATCGATATTTATGGCATCTCGAAAAAATGTCACTTTTTGACAGTTTTCATTTGCGTCAAGTTGGCAATCGGCACGCTGGCGACCGACCTCTTTATCATCCGGTCCTTGTCAAGTTCAGACGTGAGTGAAATTTTTTCCTGTTTTGATTCAGAAATTTAATAATTGCGTTTTCTTTGCCTTAAACACTAATTTTGTGCCATCTCCTTCCACTTCCAGTTGCTGTCTTAACATTTAAACCAGTGCTTTCAAAATGGTTACCGCCAAGAAGCAGGTAAGTTGCGATTAATTCCATTTTGGGAAATCCACGTGGGACTAACATCGTATTCCATCTTGCTTTGCTTCCCACAGAAAAAGGCTTTGGAGAGCATCAATGCTCGTCTGGCGCTGGTCATGAAGTCCGGCAAGTACTGCCTGGGCTACAAGCAGACCCTGAAGACCCTCCGCCAGGGCAAGGCCAAGCTGATCATCATTGCCAACAATACTCCCCATCTCAGGTAAAAAGTGATTTCCTCACCTCGATTACTGAGAAGTAGTATTTCCCACCATTCCTGGAGAAGTGCCGAGTCCGATTTTGGAACCATATGGAGTTTGCCTTGCCTAGGTCGAACTGAGAAGTATGCTTCCAAACGATGTCGTTGGGAAATCTATGGAGTAATCTCAAGTTTGGTGCAAGTGGACGGCGCGGGACTCCATAGTATGGTTCCAAGGTTGTGAAATGTTAGGCCACCCGGGTATTGGGTTTGTGGAGACGACTTCTGGTAAGTACCGTCCTTGATGTTAACGTAGTTTTTGATTTGTGAACAAACAGGAAGTCCGAGATCGAGTACTACGCTATGCTGGCCAAGACCGGTGTCCACCACTACAACGGAAACAACATCGAGCTGGGAACCGCCTGCGGAAAGTACTTCCGCGTGTGCACCCTGTCCATCACCGATGCCGGTGATTCCGATATCATTCGTACCCTGCCGGAAGCTCAGGCCGCCGCACAGTAAGGTGTCTGTTTTTTTTGGTTTAGCTTTTGGAAATTCGGCTTTTATTGATATTCAATAAAAGACGAAGAAGTTACTGTACATGTACAAAATGATTCAAGAACATCTGGAATAAAGCGATCGATCTCCTAGTTGGAGGTCTCCGAAGGACACGTTGGAGGGCATCATTTCGAAAGAACGCCAGGGGAGGGAGGTCTGGAATCTCTTACGATGTCGACGTATTGTATAGACTATCGATATGACTTCTCGCGTAACATTTGAATAGGGCCTATGATCAAAATGTAAACAAACCGATTTTTGATACCATTCTGTAGCACTGGTAATTAGCTACCAGTCGTATAGGAATGTTCCGCATTATCGATAAAAATCATTAAAAATAACTTGATTTTAAAAACGGCCGATCCACGAAATTTTTCCAATCATTCATGCTAAACCGGCCTAACCTCGGGCCTAACATATATTTTTTTTCGTTCGATGAGGTTCCATTCATAAGCCTAGCGACGTAGAAGGGCCGATGATTTAAAAATTTCAAATCAAAGCTAGGCCCTACTGCTTGAGGCAGGGCCGATGATTTATTTGACGTTAAGAAAAGGCTTAGCAAAGTGCCTACAATTCAGTGCCAACATTTCAAAGGGGCGTAATTGCTTTTGTAAACAATGACTTTAGCCGTCAATTTCTCGCGAATGAAATCTTACCTCTTTAAAATAACAATCCCCCCTATTCTGCGAGTCACGTGACTCTCTCTCACCGGTGAGGTGACAATAGTCACCTCGTGTGAGGTGACTCTCCATTTGATTTGCACGGAGAGTCACCTCACACGAGGTGACAATTGTCACCTCACCGGTGACAGAGAGTCACGTGACTCGCAGAATAAGGGGGAATGCTAGCTGGTAGAGGAAACATTCCTCTACCTTCTGGTGTCATTATTTTTCATGAGTGAGCTTTTATTCGCGAGAAATCGACGGCTAAAGCCATTGTTTACAAATGCAATTACGCCCCTTTGAAATGTTGGCACTGAATTTATGATGACAAGCACAACGGCTTAACAAAAAGGGCCTAACCATTTAAAGATTCACAAAAAGGCTTATTACTGTAATATTAATTTTTTATCGATTTTCATGTATTTTTGAAAACGTTTCGCATGTTTTGGATGTTGTGTACTGAGATACAGTTACTATTCCTCCTTATTCTGCGAGTCACGTGACTCTCTGTCACCGGTGAGGTGACAATTGTCACCTCGTGTGAGGTGACTCTCCGTGCAAATCAAATGGACCCCCCTATTCTGCGAGTCACGTGACTCTCTCTCACCGGTGAGGTGACAATAGTCACCTCGTGTGAGGTGACTCTCCATTTGATTTGCATGGAGAGTCACCTCACACGAGGTGACAATTGTCACCTCACCGGTGAGAGAGAGACACGTGACTCGCAGAATAAGGGGGGGAGAGTCACCTCACACGAGGTGACTATTGTCACCTCACCGGTGAGAGAGAGTCACGTGACTCGCAGAATAGGGGGGACTATTTTATTTTTTTAACGTGAATTTATTTTAAGATTGAATTTCTGGAAACTTCGGTTTACTCAGAGAAAATTTCTGGAACGCAATAACAATTATATTAACATCCGGAAAATGTAAGAGTAAGGGTGTTATATCATTGAAATTTTAAGATCTAAAAAAAATCGAAAATTTAGCTAAGTTGATTAGAGAACATCAACGAATTAACATTAATTAAAAAAATATGGGAGAACTTTTAGCAAGCACCGATTATTTCAAGAAATTCCAGAGAACTTCTAAAAAAATTTGATATGTTTAGATTATTTCGTTATATTCAGTGAAGTAACATCACAAAAATCCCATTAACTTAAGGAAATTTGCAGCACCTTACAAAGAGTTCCTTGAAATTATGGGATATTTCGTGAATTCTATGATTGATCTGAAAACTTTTGGAGATTCACGGAATTATAAATATATATCAGAAAATTCACCGGAACATTTGATCTATTTAGAGAAATTAAGGTAACCATAGAAAACTTTAGGGCTGGACTTTCCAGGGAAAATTAGTAATTTAAGGCAATGCTTCGTGAGCGTTTATAAACTTTATAAAACATAAGGAAAATTGTAGCACGTAAAGGCAATTCAATCAATTCCAGTAAAATGTGGGTTCTTTAAAACAAAAACTAAAATATTCAGGGAAGTCTAGAGAATATAAAGGAAATTGAGAAATATTTTGGGCAGTTTTAAAAACATCAGGAAGCTCTAGACTATTGAAGAAGCTGTTAGTTTCGAAAATCGACAAGTCTTGAGAACTTCAGTGAAAATCATAGAACTATATGAATTATTTCGTTGCGTGAGCTTAAAGAAGTTCCTGAAATTTTAGAATAGCTTCGAAAACTTCACAGAAGTACAGAGATCTTTAGAAACATTTCGAGAACTTCATAAAACTCTTTGGACCTTAAAGGAAGATCCGAGAACTTCAGGAATTATATGGACATTTCGGGAGCATTTCAAATAAGTTTAGTAAAGCTCCAAAATCAAGGGGAGTTTCAGGGGAGTTTAATTCCATTAGTTTCACATTCCACATTCACACAGTTTAATTCCATTAGTTAGCGGAAAATTTCAAGAAGTTCCCAAATTTTCAGAGAACATTATTGACAGAGTTGTGACCTATCACAATCACGATCGTCAAACAGCTGATGGTAGTAACGCTTTGTACATTCCTATCAATGTACTCGTCGAAGCTCTCTCCATGACCATCCATCAAGTTGACGAAAGAGGTAGAAAGCAACTGGTGAATGTCGTCTTCGGTTGTGAACCATCACCGATCTGGTCATTCCCGACAATCACGACACTCATCTGTGCTCGTTTTGAAGCAGTTGCTGCTTTGATTGCTTATGTGAGTGTGTTGGTGAGTGAACCCAGCAGCTTCCGTTTAATGTTGCCTGCTTTGTTTGTAACTCACACAGTCGCGCCTGCCGAGACAAACTTGGAATGCGTAGGCATTGTTTTCATTTTCTTCTGTCGTTTCGCTTTTTCTCATGATCGTACTGCAGAAGTCTTCACTGTTTTCGTTGTGCTTTTCATCATCAGCAGCGAGTGTAACGTTTTGCTTGTGAGCAGCGACCAGTAATGTGATTGTTGTTTGCCATCGCATGGCTATACCTCTCATTGCGTGACAAAACGTTCTGTCAGCGAAAGTCGATTGATGCGTTGACGAGTGTCGAGTGAGTGTCATGATATTTTGCATCACTGATTATTGATGTTAAGAAAATTATTTCTCATAAGTCCCGAAGTTCACGGAAGCCTAAATTTGTTTAGAACAGTTCAATTAAATTCAGGGTAGTACAACAAGCTTCATGAGAACTGCAAACACATTGGAAAAGTTTCGAGAACTTCAAGAAATAACAGATATCCTCAGAGCAGTGAATTGTTAAAACTTTAGAGAATACTCATGATCGTTAGGAAAATTGTGGAAACTTTAGGAAGTCCGAAAAAAGTTTAGCGAAGTTAAAAACAATGATGAGAAGTATTGCGAGCATCAGGCTAGTTTCTTAAACTACAAAAGAACTTCAAGGCAGTTTCATTAACTTCAGGAATATTTGAGAACTTTCAAGTTGTTCAGAAGACCTCAAAATAGTCGATTGCATATTCAATGGAGATTTCTCATGCAAATTCGCTTGGGTTCTCCTCATCATTTGCTCGCATTCTCCGGAAACTCTCATGGAATTATTTCAGAAATTCATTTGGAACGCTTCTCTGAATTCTCTAAAAAATATGTCAAGAATATAGTTAGAATACTTCTCGCAACTATCCTCCGAATCAAGTTTTCTTTTAATTTTCCTTGGAATCTTCTCAGTAAGAAATCTTATGTGATCACTTCTTCCCTTGGAATTCTACTCATATTGAAAGCCTCCTAAGAATTAATTTAATTTCTCCTTACAAATTCTTTAGATTTCTCCCCTTAATTTGTTTGGCAATCTCGCCTGGAATTATTTTCCGAATTTCTTTGAAGAGCTCCTGGAGTTATTCTCAGATTTAATTGTTATCCTCCTTTTAGTGAAGGGGATCACCCCCTAAGTATTCACCATAAAATTACGAGGACTTATGCTCCGCTTTCAAATGTGTGGTTGAAAATAACTACGAATATTGAATTATTTTTATTTTAAAATGCATTCTTTTCTTTGGAATATCCTTAGATTCCCTGAGACTTTCAGGTATTTTCAGAAGAAATAAAATTCCCTGAGAATTCCCGGTTTTCCAGGTAGTAGACACTTGGAGGTTTTGTCATAAATTTTCTATTGAATTTTTCGCTTTAAAAGTTCCTATCGTACATATTTAAGTGCTTATAAGACTCTAATTGCATAAGTCTAAAACATCAAACATTTATTTGGTATTCCATCAGAACGACTAATTTTCTTCCCTATGGTAACTTTAAAGTCACTTTTTTACAACTATAAGTCACTATTTGATCACTTATTTCTTCAACATGGTCACTAAAATCACTATTTTTGACAGCATTGATCGCTACCAGCACTGAGTTACCATGATATTCGTGAGAATATTATCAATCACGTCTCGCATTCATCATTTTAGAACCACCGAAATCATCTTATCAACAAACAGTTAGAATTATTCACATCACTCCCATATTCTTATTTTCGTTCAAACCGTATTTTCCATATAAAAACAAAAGTTTTTTTTTGTATGGAAAATACGGTTCGAACGAAAACAAGAATATGGGTGAATGAGAAAGCGATACGACTAACGTACACTTTTCACGGGTGACTTTTTGACTGTAAATGATCTTTATTTCTTGTATTTGTGTGGTTTACATGTCTTACTTATCAAGTGACACAGATGCGTCTTTTCAACTTTAGTTCTTTAGAAGTTTCAATTATTATTAATTACAGTTCCTAGTCCTATCAGGCCTGTTTGAAGAATGACCACATTGGTGGGATTGGCTTGTTTTAAATTTAAAAAAAGAGACTACTCATCTACTATTTACAACTACAACTACTATATACACCTAACCTACTACAGACAAATTGCTTATCAAAGCATGTTCTGATAAATTACATTTTTGTGCAAATTTAGTCTTATTTTCGAATTCTAGAATCGATTTTGGCAATGCCTGCCTCTTCGTGTAAATTTGTTA